AAGGGGTCTAAATAAAGAGTAAAAGTTTCCCTTGCTCAAAAGCCAGTTGAATCTGACTCTAGAGGGTGGTGCTCATCTCCGTTTCCAAGCCGAAGAGCCAGCACTGTCTGAAGACATTTCCATGGTCATGTGGCCAGCATGACTAAACGCCAAGGCGCACAGAACACTGTTACCTCCCCACCGGAGCGGTACCTGTTTATCTACTTGCAATTTCTTGCTTTCAAAGTGCTAGGTTAGCAGGAGCTGGGGCCAGAAACGGGAGCTCACTCTGTCACGCGGCACTCGGGTCTCGAACTGCCAAGCTACAGCCCTCCCGATCTGCAGCGAAGCGTCTTAACCTCTGAGCCACCGCGGCCCTGTCTAAATAAAAAAAAAGCAGATAAGTGAAATAAACGAACAGCATCATTTTTCCTTGGGCGGCTTAAATTTGAGAAGGGTCAGAAAGAACGGGAGAGAGCTGTGCCGGCTGAAGGCAAAACACCTTAAATTTCAGTCCTCGGGAACCTAATGCAAGATTAGCAGTTGTGCTGCCTGATGTAGGAGTCTAGGTGACTTCTCTTTCTGAAAAGATGCAGATATTTTACACAGAAAGTGATTAAAATGTGGAATTTGCTGCCATAGGATGTAATAATGGCTACAGGAATAAACAGCTTTACAAGGGGATTAGATAGATTCATGAAGGATAAGTCTATCAATGACTGCTAGCCGTGTTGACTGAGGGGAAACTCCACATTCAGAGGAACTAAGCCTCTGAATCCCAGAGCCAGGAGGCGACCTCAGGGGAAGTCCACGGCCTCTCTGCCCTGTCCTTGGCCCTCCAGAGGAACTGGTTGGCCACCGTGTGAGACAGGATGCTGGACGAGATGGACTATTGGTCTGATCCAGCAAGGCTTTCTTATGTTCTTATGATCCAGGCAGTATAAATCTGCAGCACTCGCTCAGCCAAAACAAACTAAAACCGAGCACCACTACCAGGGCTATTTTGGGGCAGGAACGCACAGGAACGGAGTTCCGGCTGGCTCCCAAGTTGGCCACGCCCAGCAGGA